AGTATTTCACGAGGTTCACAGGATCAGAGGATGAGCTGGGACCTTCGAGTGAGAACACTGCTGGCAATCTTCCTACGCACTGTCCTCTTGAGCTTATCTCCCTAAACCCTTTGCTATGTGTTGCCAAGTTCCTGTACCTCTTACAAGGTGAAATGTCTCTCCCTAAGTCCCATGCAGATCTGTATGCCTATTAGTAGAAAAATAAAGGGACAGGTGGCCCCAGGTTTCATCCAGCCACTTGGTCTCCTACACCCCGTGAAATAGAATTGAGTCAGAAGAACGCATTTGGAGTTGAGGAAAGGTCTCTCAGCTGTGGGTGGAGAGGTTGAAACTCTGGTTTTCGCTGGTGGTTGTTTACTAAGGGGCTGCTGGACTGGTGGATTGTGGAAAGCACATGAAGGCCTGACCAACACAGAGAAGCAAGAGCCTGTTGTGTTCTCAGGAGCCGGTCCTGTGCCCTCCTGCAGACAGGTGCCCCCTGCCCCAGGGCTTGTTATCCCAGTGCAAGATGACTGTAACCTGAATGGTGGTTAAAAAAAAAAAAAAAAATGAAACAGCTGCACCCAGAGGATGTGGACCTCAGAGGAGGTGACTGGCTGGGATCAAACCTGAATTAATTTCATGTGTTACATTTTAAAAAAAAAAAAATCAATCTGCCATCTATATCTATCTGGTGGCAGTTCAAATAGTCCCACATGTGGTCACCAGAAAATAAACCATTCCTCACTCCAACACTGGATAAGCTTGGCCTTTAAGGGAAAGGATTGCACGGCTGCCTACCTTGGGATCCCTCCCCTTCCTCGTGGTAGGCAAATGCCTCTTGGATATTCCAGGTGTGATTTATACTGTGTGTAATTTCTGAATTGTGTTCCAGTTGTTTGGCCCTGCAGTGTGGGCTCAGGACTCATTCTGAGCGTAACTGTAGTAAGTCTGCTTCTCCTACAGTAATAAAGAAGTGGTGTGCAATTAAAAAATGAGTTGACAAATCTAAAGCTAGAAATTCATTCTGGATCTCCTGAAAGACACCATAAAGAGAAGGCAACTGTCCAGAGCGCATCTGAAACTTAGCTGTGAGACTGCTGGATGGGACCTACATGCCAGACTAAGATCATGTAGCTAGAGAAAACAAGCCCCAAGTATCACATTTTAGGCCAGGTGTTGCACATTGCAGGCACTGGTTATTTTTGAATCCTTAAAGTTTTGAAATGTATCATATATTCAGATATGGGATAGGTCTAATGAATCCCATTTATCTATTGGACTTCAATAACTCAATGTGTCAATTTTCTTTTTTCAGTATCACTACCCATGGCCTCTATTTTTGAAGTGCTATATGTATTGCTATAAAGTTCTTTAGTGGTAAATGTTGTTAATCCACTGGGTTCTCAGCTCCATATAGCTCATGTCTAGGTGTGTAGTAACAGGGAAGTTTGAACGCTATAAAGAACAGATTGTGGGCCGGTGCCGCGGCTCACTTGGCTAATCCACCGCCTGTGACGCTGGTACCCTGGGTTCTGGTCCCGGTCCCAGTTGCTCCTCTTCCAGTCCAGCTCTCTGCTGTGGCCGAGGAAGGCAGTAGAGGATGGCCCAAGTGCTTGGGCCCTGCACCTGCATGGGAGACCAGGGGGAAGCACCTGGTTCCTGGCTTCGGATCAGCGCAGCACGCCGGCCATAGCGGCCATTTTGGGGGGTGAACCAATGGAAGGAAGACCTAACTCTGCCTGTCCAAAACCAAACCAAACCAAACCAAACCAAACCCACTTGTGTACTCAAGCATGCTTTCATAGTTCTTGGGTTTCATACCCAGCTTTCTTGCTGACTGGCTGCATTGGTCTTCCGAATGGACCCCTCTCTGAGTCTTAATTTTTTTGTGCACTGAGGAAGTTGGATGTATTGGATCTTTTAGATTCCAGCAGTTTTGTCTTTTTTGCTCTGTGGACCTTACCATGTGACCGTGTCTTGATGAGGAGGTCTTGAGTGACACCCATAGGCAACCTGAACTCCAGGTTCTATGGACTTTTCAATGCCATTTTCCTGATCTGGGGCTCTGTTTTTGTCCACAATTTCTTTTCTAAGCCAGACTGTTTTAACACCCGTCTGGATATTCCTTCATCTTTCTTGCACATTTTAATTTTGTCTCATGAGCCTCTGTCCTAAAGACCACTAAAATTCCTGTAACAATTTCCCTGTCTGGCTTTTGATGCCTGTAGTGATCTGGTCTCATAAAATCAACTGTTTTCCACTCCCCCTTTCCATGTATTGTTTCCACTTAATTCAAGTTTTCTGACTATGCTAAAAATTGTTTCCCCAGAAATATATAATTACAAATGTATGCATATTTTAAAATCTTTATTATGAGTAGCGATCTGACCCACTCAGTACTGGTTGATATCAAAAAATGAAATATTTACCTTGCCCCCAAAATTGGCTGAAGGTGGATCAGAACAAATGAGCTGATCGATCATGTGTGGCATTCAGCCCAAGGAAGGAGCTAACCTTTGTCCAGTATTTGAATTCTAAGAGCAAGCAGGTGTGCATCCAGAGGACTGACTTTAATGATCACAAAAAACCCAGCTTTTATTCTTAGTCATGACAGTGGATGAACTAATGGATTTGCTTTTCTCTATCCCAACCAAGACGTTTAAATCACTGGTGCCTGTGGCCAGGTGGGAGACCACAGTGGGTATAAGCACTTGCCGTGGACCTCTGTAATAGTGTTAGCACCAATGAGAAGGTCAGATAGGGCAGTGTAGGTTAAATAACTGGAACCATCAGGAGGAAGTATCAGGGTTTGACTTGTGTATCCCTGCTCACAAAAAGCAGAGGTATGCTTGTGGCTAAGTGGAGGACTGGTTTCAGTGGATGGAGTGCAGTGAAACCCTAGGCTGCACACCAGTTACTTCTATGAGCCGTCTAGGACCTGCGCACTGGAACGGATGAGTTTCATCAGCCTGTAACAGACCTGGCCTCCCACCCAACAGGCCGAGCAAAGTCCTAAGTATGGATCATTTAATAGCACACTGCTATATGTAAAGAAGTTTATAGTGTTATAAACTATACAAACATTGTTCTATTCTGTATCTTTCTAGTTGGTGTGCCTCGTACATAACAAGAGTTGAGTAAATTCATGAATGTGTGCTTTTCTTGGATCATGCTGTTGAAAGGCTGGCTGTCCACCCTGCCACCCTCTGGTTCCACCAGATGACTGAACTAATGGGACGTGCCTGATCTTAGACTATCTCCAAATCTGTAAGGCAAATCAGTCTCCTTCCTTCCTAAGTTGTTTGTTTCAGGTGTGTAGTTACAGTGATGCAAAGCTAATCAAGTAGTGAAGGTTAGGAAGCACACATGGGAATAGATGATAAAGAATGGGTTGCAAAGATGATAAACTTAGATCTAAAGCGAGAATCAAGAACTCTGCTGGGGCCGGCACTGTGGCGTAGTGGGTTAACACCCTGGCCTGAAGTGCTGGTATCCCGTATGGGCACCGGTTTGAAACCTGGCTGCTCCACTTCTGATCCAGCTCTCTGGTATGGCCTGGGAAAGCTGTAGAAAATGGCCCAAGTCCTTGGGTCCCTGCATCCACGTAGGGGACCTGGAAGAAGCTCCTGGCTTTGGACTGGCACAGCTAGGGCCGTTGCAGATAAACCAATGGATGGAAGACCTCTCTCTCTCCACTTTTCCTAACTCTTTCAAATAAATAAATAAATCTTCAAATAATAATAAAAAAAACCTCTGCCAACATGCTGATGGCTATAGGAGCACCCAGAGAATGACATAAATCATTATGCCAACTAGTAGGTCAAGCCTGTTAACCATGTAAATGCTTTTGTATCTTTTGCAAATATACAACCTACTGGTTTCATTTACAGGATTTTAAGTTCCCAAACAGGTATATGACTCCAGCCCTATCCTTTCTGAAAGTTTAAGCCACGACTTACTCCTTAAGAAACAGATTCTGTAAGTTTACTATAAACATACTTCTTTCTTAGCAATTATGCTAACTTTCAAACTAAAAATGGTCTTAATTTTTGACTAATTGTAATTAAGAAAAATCCTAATTGTGTGGCTCTTGATAACTTGAGAAGTTAATTTTCAAGTTCTTACTTGGCAAAAAGGCAAGAGTCCTTGTGAAGACTCACTTGGGGAATGCAGCTGAGTAACCCTGGCTATCCTACAAATCAAAGGTCCTATTTGTATGCTACTAAATCAGACTTTTTTGAGTGATTAAAAATGATGACAAACATTATATTAGGACATGCAACTTCTACAACTCCAAAAAGTCCATTAGGAACTATCTAATATTTTAATATGTTATTTTTGTAGATTGTTGCCAGTTATTTTGTCTATGGAGAGAGAAAAGGATGACTTTTCATCCCTATGTAGTAGTTTAAGCACTCAACTAGGGGTGAAGAGGGATGGGCTGCAGGATGGAGCTGTCAAGAGCCTCCTCTGAACAAATGATAAAGGGCCAGGTCCTCATTAAAAAAGTTGGTCTTGATGCATCTGTAGTCTGCTGGTAACTTCTAGTCACTTCCACTACCTACATCAGACATTTTCTCTGGACAGTTCAGAAACATCCTACTCATTAGAGTCCTAGACTGGTAAACAAGGGAAAATTTTCTCCTTCATTTACTCAAATATTTGAAAACAAATGTATTCACAGGAATTTTTATAGAAAGTCTAATAACTGCTAAGTGTAGGCCATTTGATCAGTATGGCCAGTTCAAGAAGTAATACAAATGTTCTTTAGGTTTCTTTTGGTTTTGTTTTTTGCTACAGAACAATCTAAGGATGACCTAACATCCTAATCAAGTCACACTGGTAATCTCTGATTCTGTACTTTAGAACAGGATTTTCTTAACAAAATTCCATATGAGTTTGGTTTTGACCCTGCTGATATTTTCATTAGATGAAGTTATAATTGCCAAGGCTAACCCAACTGTATTCTTACCTGCCATCTTCATATTGACGGCATAATAACTCCAACAGTTATTATGTTGAGTTTTAAAATGAGTTTATTAAAGAATGTTCTTAGGAAGGCAACAACTTTTGATTTGTCATTAAAAAAAAGTTATATTCTTCATGCTGTATAATAAAGGTAATGTAAGAGGCTACAGTTACAAGCTTCTTTTTGCTGGAATTCTGCGTATAGCACAGTGTAGTCATTTCTGCAGTGCTAGAATAAATAAAAAAAGTCTCTTCTATGCTTCTTTTCAAAAAGCAATGAGTAACAACAGAAGATGGCATAAAAAAGAGCCATTTTTCCACTCATTCTGTAGTATTGGAGCCAGTATCTAGGAAACAGGAAAGAATGAGTAAATTAATTATAAATATCTTACGAGTATCTTCAAAAAAGAAAAATAGTTTGAGGGGTGGGAAAGAGGGAAGCAGACCATGAAATAAGGCAAATGCTTAGCTCTTCATATTTATGCTAGAGAAAACCAAGTTGAACTACATTTAGTTCTTATCACTGTTATGTAACCACCTATTTTTTCTCTGCTGTCTCACAGAGAACCAAAACATACATAATAATCAGAAGAGAACTGTATTTTAAGATATTTTCAGGTGAGAAACATCACTCCCCCACCATCAATGCTTCTAGATTAGCTCAAGTTTATTTCAGAGAGCTTTTAGAATATTTATAGTATTACCTCCATTACCTTGCATCAGTGAGAAATAGTATTTTAAAAATCATTCAAGCTTACCTCTACCTGTAAATGCCAAACCATTTAAATTTTGGAAAAAAAGTTTCCATTCTTTTCTGATATAATAGAGTAATGGGACACAATTAGAGAAAGCTTTCCCTGAGTACTCAACAGTTATTTCGTGGAAGACCAATTACTATACTTGGCTGTCCCTGGGGCAGGTGCTCAGAATCAGTGCAGTTAAGGCTGGTTTGCTGCTTCTCTTCCACTCAACTTCGGGGAAAAAAAATCAGCTTGCACCTCTGAGCAAGAACAACATAGTCAGAGAACCATGAACTAGGAATAGGTAAGTAAAACGGTATCTTTAGGTATCAATATTACCTGGTTCCTTCTGTATTTGTGGTGTTTTGCTACGAAAGCTCAGATTCTACGTCTCCACCTGTGCTAACCTAGTACTTTAACAGACTTGTTTCTCAACCCTATTTCAAGTGCTCAGTAGCTCTGCACTACTACTGGAAAACACTACATCATTAACTCATTTTGACTGAGATTTTCTGGTATCAGTGAATGAAGATGTAATTTTTGACTCTCACTTGTGTGTTACTGTAAAAAACAGAAGAGGGCTTGAAGTTTGTGGGAAAATGACATCAAAAGATACTGCCATTTCTTCATGAGCTTTCTGAATTCCCTTCATATACATGTCAGACTAGAAAGAGAAAATATTAAAAGTGAAGGCCGTTTTTTGTTTTCTTTGTGCTCTTTCTTCAGTGATTAGGTATTTCTTTTGAAATCAAACAAACCCAGCCCATAATCTAGAAGCCTCCTTTCCTAGAGAGTGGTAGTCTTTTCTGTTTAATTCCAGGATAGCCGCTTTAAACACATGGTGCAGATTATAAAGGCAAACACACGTTTAGAATACAACTGGCAAATAGGCGGTAACTCCTCATGGACTGGAAGGCAGTGCTGTCCAGCTTCTGAAACAGATCTAACAAGTGACAGGAATGGATACTTAGCACACGGCTGCTTTAAAATAGCTTTTAAAAAATTGCATGTATAGGTATTAAGCAAGACAAAAAAGTGCGTATCAGGCTTTCCCCAGCCCTCCTAACTTTTTTGTATTCAATCTGTGTAAGCAGTCTGTGTTACTGAATTACATATATATATAAAGTCAGTTAAGAGGACCTGAGATCTGGAACTGAGAATCCTAGACAGAAGCTAGGTCTCTATTTGGGAGTTCATCATTTGGCCAGTTATAAATTCTTTAGTGAACACTTACTTTTACCGTCACAGGCTACAATTTTCACTTTATCCACTTTAATAAGTTCTGTCACCTCTCGGAATTCCACATCATTCAATACAAAAGTCCACACATTATCACAGAATCTGTACGTATTTAGAGAGCCCTTTAAAACAAAACATGAAGAAATGCCATGAAAAGTCATTTAAGAGAACTTAGCTTCTAAGTATATAACTGTTAAAACACTAATATCCCCTTAATTTAAACAAACCATTAGAAAAATTTGCTAAGGAAAGTGTTAAATATTTCAGGTAGCAGACTTTTTTCAGCACTGTGAAAACTGCAAATCATTTAGTATGAAGCAAAGCTGAATGAAAGCTTGAATGTGTACTTCTACTGCCCTCATGTGGCTAAAATTCAAGTTGATTTTAATTTTTATGTAAACACTCAAGAGCTACATACTTCATTCTACATTAATTCTCTAAGCTTGTGTAAAAGCCTGGATTTCCTAGAAACAGTTAATTTTAATCCTGGGATTTACCTCAGATGTATTACTATATTAACCACTAATCTGTGATATTTATTGTCCCATGAAAATAACATTCATCTAATTTTTTTAAAGCAGGAAAAAATTTGTATCCTTCAACATTAAAAGCAAAAATTATATGAAAGGCAGAGCGACAGAGAAATCTCTGATCCTGCTGGTTCATTTCCCAAATGGCTGTAACAGCCAAGGCAATGCCAGGCTGAAGCCAGAAGTCTAGGGCTCATATTTGGGCCATCTCCCACTGCTTCCTCAGGCACATCAGCAGGGAGCTGGATTGGAAGTGCAGCAGTTGGGACCCAAACTGGCACTTCCATATAAGATGCCTGCATTCCTAGTGGTAGCTTAACTTGCTATGCCACAACATTGGCTCCCAAAAGGAAAAAAAAATTAAAAGTGCTAGACACAAACAAAATACAATCAAACCTTCAGAGAAATACACATGCACACAGATTTAATGTAGTCAGGAAAAAGACATCTAAATGACTAAAATCTTCATAGAAACAAAATTGAGCACAAAAATTTCCCCCTGCAGTACTATCTGTAACAGCAGTTAGATTAAATGTCCCAGTGTTGTGGCGCAGCGGGTGAAGCCTCCGCTTGTGATGCCAGCGTCCCACGTGGGTGCCGGTTCTTGTGCTGGCTCTCTGCTATAGCCTGGGAAAGCAGTGGGAGACCCAGAAGCTTCAGCCTGGCCAAGCCTGGCCAAGCCTGGCCACTGCAGCCATTTGGGGAGTGAACCAGTGGAGGGAAGCTTTCTGTCTCTTCCTTTCTCTCTCTTGACTCTTTCAAATCAGTTACAAATACATCTGAGAATGACTGTGTGATGGCCTATGTTGGAGCTGTGGTCCCTATCACCACTGAGTGAGCTTAGTTTAGAAGGAAGGACCCTAAAACAAGTAAATGAGTATTAAATGAAAGAGGTAAGTACTGGGTACAACAAGAGAACAAAGGGCAGAGAAAGCAGCTCACAAAGTGAAGGTTGAGTGAGTCCTAAAAAGAGTCCTAAAGAGTAACAGTCAATGGAAAGGAAGACAAACACTTGGAATGGGATAGGAGGTTCCCACTGATGCCTCTCAGCCCACTCTGTCGGAAATAAAGTAGCTTCACTACAGAGGCAAAAAGGGGAACAACAGAAATGGATTCTGTGGAACTGGGAGGACTTGACAACCAAGGGTATGGCAGGGTGGGAGGGCACAGTGACAGATAACTCCCACGTTTCTGGCTTGAGTGACAGCAGAACTCTTCAAGCCACGGAGTATGGGAGGCATGGGCATATCGATTTGAGAACCTCAGGGCTGTGTGACTTCATTCAAGAGCATGTGAAAGCGCCAGACGGCCCTAAGGAGTAAACAGGGGGTTAAGTGACAGAGGGGGATGAGGACTACAAAAGAGCTGACAGAGGCCAGGGAACAGGAGAAAAGGTACAATAGTATTATTTCAACAGGAAATAGATTTTAAACATTAATTACTTTCATCTGGATTTTTCTCCATAAAAATTAATCCAAGGCCCCTGATACATATAATTAAAATTTTAGCTTTCACACAAGGGTCCTCCTCTCATAATACGCCATTAAAACAAAATTTGTGGTTAATCTTACTGCATAGGCCAGCAAAAATTACAGAAAAGAACTATATATTTAAATGTGATCCAGCATACTGTCCCATCTTTACCACGTATATTCTGGATTGCTGTAATCCAGTGGGGCACGGTGATTAAGACTGAACTAGCAATGGGGAAAACAAAAAGCAAAAATGGCAAAGTCAGTCCTGGCTAAGACTGATGGCACTGTTTGCAGCTTTTGGAAAACAGACACAGTTAGGAGATGCCTATACAGACCTTGGGAACTTGATGGGCTCTAGTAAAAGGTCTACCAAATTTTCTACACAGTAGAAGGTTTATGTGTTAACAGGGATTGATTTAAAAATAAAGGATTGGGTTTTCACAGACAACCTGGGCTGATTTCTACATACGGTTATACAAACAGAAATGAAGTACTTTTGCCAGAATCATTACCTGGTAAAAATCTGAAAATACACCAAATTTTAACACTGTCACTACCCCATTTCATCCCAGGTAATTTTCAGGCATGTGAAACTGTTAAAAAGAGACTTATTTTACTGCTTCACTAAAATTTGGGTCAAACAGGGCTTTGTCTCATTCACCCATGTACTGCCAATATCTGAAATGATGTATAATATGTAACAGGCACTCAAAATCTTTGTTAAATAAATGATGAACTTTTCATCATCAAAACACTAAGGTTCCCTTACATTTACAGGATAATAATTAAGTGTCTCCATCCACACAATAAATAGTTTCATGGTGGAATAGAAATAGAGAATTCTGTTCAGGTTTGGATGGCTACTCAAAGTGTAAATGACTAAAACAAAGGACCGGTGCTGAGTTGACGCGGGTTAAAGCCCCGGCCTGCAGCACTGGCATCACATAAGGGTGCTGGTAGCAGTGGAAGATGGGCCAAGTCCTTGGGCCCCTGCACCCACATAGGAGACCCGGAAGAAGCACCTGGCTGCAGACTGGCTCAGCCATTGCAGCCATTTGGGGAGTGAACCAGCAGATGGAAGGCCTCTCTCTCTCTGCCTCTACCTGTCTCTGTAACGCTGACTTTCAAATAAATAAAAAGACAAAAATGAGACCAAGCTAAGCAGAACAGACTACTATCTACCACTTGTTCAGTTATCCAAGGGTAGACAGGTGAGAAGCAATGTGAAATTTCTAAAAATATCTCTGGACTCTGTGGGAATGGATTAAGGCCAGACTTTGAAATACATAACTGAGCCTGGCAGATTATTCTGCCACTTACCCTCAATCTCGCAGATAATGTTTTCAGGAGTTGGCATTCTCGGTAACTCCTCAGAGAAGGGAACCACTCAAACACAGGCTGATTAATGAACAGAATACTCACCTCACAGTAAGTGGATGAATTTAACATATACAACTGATTTACTAGTAAAAATCAGTTATAAGCTGTAGATACGTAGGGGTCCAAAAAACACTACGGTACAGGCTGTGAGATTGAGGAAAATATTCTTACCCGGAAATTGACTCTGTTCCTGACCCTCTGAGCCAATGCTGAGTTTATAGCCTTATCAAACTGAAGTAGAACTTGAAGGGCAAGTTGAGGGGTGATCTGTTGAGACTGAGAAAAAAAGTAAAAGTCATAAATTCTCTTAGAGAAAAACATGAAAGACAAGCAAAACTGTATGCATTATCTAAAATTTAACTGAGGCTAGCCAGAGCCTCTAAACCTGATTCCTTATTCCCCCTTGGCCATCCCTGACAAGAAGCCAAAGGCTCAAACTGTCTTGACGCAAACATTCTGAAAAGGAAACATGCCAAAACAAGGTTATGAAGCCAAAACAAAATCCTATTATCTTTTCCTTCCTTCACAATGTCTGGAAAGATAAAATTTTTTAAAATAGTTTTGAAGCCCAGCAAACAGTATTTTCTTGGGAGTCTTGTATTTTTAAGAAAGGTTAATTGTCAAAGTCAGCGCTGTGGTGTAGTAGTTAAGCCACGGCTTAAGTCCCAGAATCCCATGTGGGCGCTGGCCATTTGGGGAGTGAACCAGTGGATAGAGGATCTAACTCTGCCTTTCAAATAAAGAATTTTTTTTAAAAAGGTTAATTCTTGGGCTCACAACTATGGCACAGTGGGGCCAGCATCTCATATGGGTCCAAGTCCTGGCTGTTTGTTCTGCTTCTGATCCAGTGCCCTAATGTGCCTGGGAAAGCAATGGAAGATGGCTCAAGTGCTTGGGCCCCTGGATCCTGTTGGGTGACCTCAATGAAGCTCCTGACTTCTGGCTCCAGCCTAGCCAGTCCTGGCAGTTGTGGCCACCAGCAGATGGAAGATCTGTCTCTCCTTCTCTAATTCTACCTTTCAAATAAATCTTAAAAAACAAAGTTAGGGGCTGGTGCTGTGGTGCAGCAGGTTAAGCTGCCGCCTGCAGCCTCAACATCCCATATGGACACTGGTTTGAATCCCAGCTGCTCCACTTCTGATCTAGCTCCCTGATAACATGCCTGGGAAAGCAGTGGAAGATGGCCTAAGTGCTTGGGCTCTTGTGCACATGTGGGAGACCCAGAAGAGGCTCTTGGCTTCTGTCTGTTGCAGCCAATTGGGGAGTGAATCAGCAGATGGAAGATCTAACTCTTTCAAATAAATAACTCAATCTTTTAAAAAAATTCTAAAATTGAAATAAACTGAAAATTCTAATTTAAATACCTAAAGATTATTAAATTGCACAAAATGATCCCAAAGCTACATAGCATATGCTTCCCCTTCTTATTAAGAACAGGGAAAACCAACAATCTCAATTTTATGTCTAACATAACAAAGTTTCTTTTTTTTTGGAAGTTTCAGATACATTCAGCTACATCACTTACTCATCCTGTATCTAGATTATTGTCAGGATGGTATAATAAACAGAACCTGAGGTTATTCCCCAGTATTACTGACTGGGTCAAACAGTCTAGGTTATTCGTCTTGTATCCGCCTGGGATGAGAAACGCGACAGGAACTGTTACAGAGTGTGTGGCTGCTAATCTCCCACCTGAATGAGCTCGTCTAGGCTCTCCTGAAGGCTGTTCCCCAAAGTCGTATTTCTGTACAACTGATATGCCATGGCTCAGAAGGAAGAAAGTGCTCTTCTTATTCAGGCTTGCATTGATGTCCTAGAAATTTAATGCACAATAATTATATATACCTCTTTAATATAGTTATTAAAATGTGTAAAAATCTGCCTGCTTAGTCTAGAATTTTCCACATATCATACTCTTACTTGTTGTGAAATCATGATCCAGGGAATCTTTAGTTCACATGTGCATGCCTGCCAGCCCCTTTATTTTCCATTTCTGTTAGATTTCGGTACTTGTGGAGCATCCACCCAGAGGATGGCGCTGTGGTAGGTACCAGGGAGAGGGAGGTGAACAAACATATATCCCAACCCTAAAAAGTTATGCCCTGGAGGATAACAGATATAAAAATGGTTAAATTCATTGTTAAAAAAAAAAAAACTGCAATAGAGATATCCAGAGTACTACAGAGGCTGCCAGTCTACTGAGTTGGCTCGAAAAGCTTCCTGATTCTTCACACTGACCTTCAGGACAGTTAAAGAGGAAAGTCTGGGCTGACAGAATAGAATACATACAAGAAGGTTTGTGGGAGAATATAAACCGCTCCACATTACTGGTACTAAGTGTAACATGGCATGGCAGAGATGGATGGGATAGACTTGTTCCTAAGGTGAAGGGCAGGCAGTGTGGAGCCCCTGGATCAAGGCAAGATCAAATATTACAGATGAGGGATGGAAGCTCCAGAAAGGAGACAGCAGTACAGACTCAACAAACACTAGATGTCAGGAGACGCTCGTTTATGTCCAAGTCAGCAAAAATCACGGTCAGCCAGCATCTTCACCTTACTTTACACAGCCCTTGCCTGACTTCAAACATTTCTTAGACTTCTGGGCTACCATTCTCAGTGCTCCCCCTTCACCTCACTGGATTCTATTACACAACTTGGTTTCTTGGCTGGTTCTCCCTCAGCTCTCGGCCTTCTTCTTACTAAACTGCCCTAAGGCTTCTTAGGTCTTCCTTACACATGCTTGACTCCCACAATTACTTCACCCAGCCTCATGGCTTTAAATCTCATTTCTGTTCTAATGACTTCCAAATTTGCATCTCCAGTCCTGACTTCCCTTGTACCCATATACAAAGGGCTTTCAATGCATATTAAGAAAAAACTACATGGATTTCATTTTTTTTTGCACCAAAATAAACCTTAATTCCACCCCCCACCCCCAGACTTTTTTGTACTTCCCTGGATGAAAACACCAAGTAGGCAACTCAAATTTGCAAAAACCAAATTCCTGATACCATCCCTTCCACACCCTGTCCTCAAGTCTTGCCCATCTCAGTAAATGGAAAATCTAGGCTTTCAGAACAATCCCCAAATCATAATCATTAACTCCTTTCTTTTTCTCATACCTGGAATCTAATCTGTCAGCTAACACTTTCAGCTCTTTTTTTCTAAATGTATCCAGAATCCAACTATTCCTCTCACCTTCAATGTTACCATTCTTATAACATCACCAAAATATATGTGATAGCCCATTATATGGTTTAATAACCATGTCCCATCCCAGTATCTCTTGCTTACCTTGCAAATCCACTGTAAAGCTTAACTCAGAGTTGTCCCTCTGGCAAGCAGAGTTACCATCTCAATGCTAGCCTCTGTTCTGAGAGCAGGCAAGAACTCCCAGACAGAACTCCTCAAGTCAGTCCTTGAAATTCACTTATCACCCCTTTAGCTAACATCCTCCTGTCAGACTAACCCTGAGACATTTTTCAGGAACTTCAAACCTGGTTCAAAGAAAGTAACACCTAATCTACCCCTAGATCCAGACCGACTGGAGCCCACCTCTGCCTTTCCAAAGGAAAGGTGCGCCACTTGAAGGAAGGCCATGCATACTCGCTGTGGACCAACAACAGGCACACACATAAGATGCAGTGGGCATCTCCACTCTAAAGTGTAAAATTCACGGCTGGAGTCTGGGATTTGAGGGAGAGCTGCCCGGCTCCTTGCTCTGCACACTGCAATAAATACCTACTTTTCCCCACCAGCCTGATGTCAGTGACCGGTTTACTGCATGCCAGGCAAGCAGTCCTACTTCTGAGGTACTATAGAAACTTCTCCAACTAGTTTTGGGGTTGTTCTAGAGCAGCTTCAGGCTTTCTACCCTTGCCTATCTCACCCTTCACAGCAAGCACACGAGACTTCACAACGCAAGGCAAATTACATAATTCATCTATTCAAAGTCCTACTGGTTTGCAAGGCCCTCCACCACCCTCTTCCCCTGACTGCCCAGGTCATGTGGGGAGCAACCCAGACTGGACTGAGTTACTGGAATTAAGACTTATTCTATGCATCTGCTCTCCCACAATATGGCTCTGGGAGAGGAGGCAACAGCTTCTACCCAGCTGCCTCTCACCAACTTGACAAGCTGCAGGAGCTGCTCCTGATTGGAGGAGAGCAGCGTACTCGGCGTGTGGGTAGCAGAGTTGGGATTGGTGGAAGAGGACTATAAAGGAGGAGAGAGACAACATGCACCAGGAACATCTAAGGGGAACATCTATCTGAAGGAACACCTGTGCAGCCCCCGAGAGAGCCGGCCGGCGGTGTGCCGCTCCCCCGCGGAAGTGGGGAATGTGGCAGGGGGAACTGCCCTTCCACGGAGGTGGAAGGGATGGTAGCCAACCCGGGAAGAACCAGCAGCAAACCCGGGGAGGGCCGAGCAGACAGAAGAACAGCGCAGGGTCCTGTGTCGTTCCTCCACGAAGACGGGGAGCGACATAATGGTGCCGTGACTCGGATATGAAGCCTAGGCAGGGTTTAGTGTCGTTCCTCCATGAAGAGGGGGAGCGACAAGGTCATAATGCTGAACTTCCACCTGGCCAATCTGTTCCTGCTTAAGGACCACTGGCTGGTCTTTTTGCTGTGAATGTTCTTCCCAGATACCTACAAAATTCACTCCCTCACTTCATTCGGAGCTCTGCTCAAATGTCACCTCATCAGAAAGGCCTTCTGTGATCAACCTGCAAAAAAGTTTCTCCTTCCTCCTTACTTTGTTTTATTTTCACTTTTCTTCATTTCAATAAAGCAGAAGATGAATGCTTATTCTGTCTCCACCTACTGTAATTGATGTGCCATGAAGGCAGGAATTTGTGTACAGCTATGGACGAGTATTGACCACCTAGAACAAGGTATAGTTATGTATTCAGTAAGTACATGCTGAGTCAACAACTTGATGGTATGTCAAAGTGCTGTATTAGCAGCAGTAAAAAACAATGAAATCTGGTCATCTGCAACAAAATGGAGGAATCTGGAAAATATCATGCTGAGTGAAATAAGCCAGTCCAAAAGGGACAAATATCCTATGTTCTCCCTGATCGATGACAACTAACCGAGCACCTAAAAGGAAACCTGTAGAAGGGAAATGGACACTATGAGAAACAATGACCAGATCAGCCCTTGTCTTGACTGTTGAGGAACAACTTACTATTTTATTCCTTTTAGTATTTTTGTTGTTGTTCTTTTTGTTCTACTTAATACCACTGGTTGAACTCTGTAATTAATACACAATTATCTTAGGCATTTAAAATTGACAGAAAAGTGATCTCTGTTAAATATAAGAGTGGGAATAAGAGAGGGAGGAGATATACAGGTTGGCACATGCTCACTCGGACTTACCTCCAATGGTAGAGCTAGAAATATGCCAGGGGATTCCAATTCAATCTTATCAAGGAGGCATGTACCAATGCCAGCTCACTTGTTAAAGTGATAAGTTTAAGTACATAATTGATCAAACAGATAGGGTAAGTGTTAAAGAGATTTCACAGATAAGACCAGTGTCTGCAAATAATGAAGGATAGAATTAAAAGGGAGAGAATGATCCTGCAGGGGAAGCAGGACACACAGCAGACTCATAGAATGGCAAATGCCCAAAACAGCACTAAGAATCAACCCTTGGGGCATTCAGATCTGGCTAAAAGGCCCATAAGAGTCTCACAGGCATGGACAGCCAAGACACGGTGGCAAAAACAACCTGAATGAAAGATCTTGGTGAACAAGACCCCAGCAGAAAGAGCAGGCCATCAAAGAAGGAGGCACCTTTCTCTGAAGGGAGGAAGGGACCTCCACTGTGATATGGCCTTGACTACATAAGTTCAGAGTTGGTGAACTCAGGAGGCTTCCATAGCCTCGACAGCTCATGGCAAGAGCCTCAGGTGATTGCTGACACCATGAATAAGAGTGCCAATTGTTAAATCTACAATGGGAGTCACTGGGTATATGCTCCCCGCGTAGGATCTCTGTTCTTAATGTGTTTTACTATGAGAGTTAACAATAACACTACTAGTTGAACAGTACTCTATATCTTGTGCAGTTGTGTGGGTGCAGTCTGTTGAAATCTTTGCTTAGTATATACTATGTTGATCTTCTGTATATAAAGATAATTGAAAATGAAACTTGATGAAGAGTGGAATGGGAGAGGGCTACGGGAGGGAGGGAGGGTGTGGGGGGGAAAAGCCACAACAATGCAAAAGTTGCACTTTGTAAATTCACATTTATTAAATAAATAAAAAAAAACCAAAGTGCTGTATTAGAACTCTAAGTATAATTCTAACTTTCTACTTCATTGAAGAAATGAAAGTAACAAAAACTTCAGATTCTCAGAACCAAATCTAACCACGTACCAATCCAAATCTGTACCCCAACACACTGTGCCTCAGCTTAGTTGCTGTAGTTGAACTACACATGCTTTTATCTAAATCTGTTCTTTGTACGTATGTCCTACTGAAATCAGATTAGCCCTTAATTAGGTTTCCTCAAGGCAGCCCCTGAAATTCAAGTGTCTCCTGATGGCCCACCCTGCCCAGATCCTTTCCTTCTCTGCCCCATGCTTCAACAACAGTCTCTGGAAATAAAGACTGGGCCGTATTTTTTAAAGTTCCTGTTTTCTTAGGAAAGCTGTTTAAGGCTTAGCCATACAGGCGCAGAGAAACTTGGACATGGGCAGAAGGTGGAACTGCCTCACCACCAGAACCAAAGAGAAGAGAACACGACTGGAATGTAAACGCTGGAGACCTTTAAAAGCAAGGAGTCTGTGGAACAAGGA